ACAGTGACAGAAGAAAACTAGGAAACAGACAGAAAGTTGAGACAAGTTGAAGGTTAAAGCCTTGCGTGGGTGCTGATCAGCTCTCCCACTAAGTATTACACACAACCAATACGTCCATGAGCACAACTAATGAAATAAGACAGGAAGTGATCTCAAAGTGACACCATTTCGTGCTTTCGAAAGCATCGGAATTTTGGTTACGTAGACAATTGAGCAAACAGGTGGGATTTTTCTCTTATAGGCAAAGCCGTGATTTTAAATTCGGAGACCATGCAAACATCAACGAGTAAAATAATAAAGGTTACATATTCTTGAGCTGTAGAATTCGGTGAAAATCATGTCATAAATATTCAATCTTCATTCAGTTATCAATGTTTTAATATTGTGATAATAATAATAATAACATAATACATAACGGAAGCGGATTTTCTCACCTTCACTTTCTCAGCTATTTGCATAATAATTTCTACATTTTCACACACAAAAGCAACAACTACCAACAAAAATGACACCAAACGCAGTTGTGGGCGCCACAGTTAAAGCATTTGAAATCTACAAGGAACATCGAATGCAACACTATTTCCTGTTCAAAGGCTATATCGTCAGTGCGAACCAAAGACATTTTAATGTGTTTTATATTCAGGTATTTGTTTGGTTCTATTTAGAACTTGTTTCACGAGCTAAGACAATATAGACTGCTTTCTAGCAATGTTTTGGGAATATTTCAATGCCGCTCGACGACTCGGAAATTCAGCGGGATCTACGAGCGAGGTAATGACAAGCTAACGTGAAGCTAGCTAAAAGCTAACTTACAGTTAGCAAACTAACGTTAATGCATCGATTTGGTTGTGTCCTCTACTGTTTACGCACATGCTAACCACAACAGTTGCATTTGAGCGCTACTTCGCAACTTTAAATAGTCGGGGAATAACAGGTAGTCTGTGTTTACGGCAAGGGCGCTAACGTTATTCATCAACAAGTGGTCTTTTATTTTGGTTTGTGTGCGTGTCTGGCTGTCTGATAGTAGAAACCAGTCGTTCCAGTCTGAGCGTTTATAACGCATTAATAATTCATGTTGTATGACAGATTTGACCTTGCAGACGTTATCTCAGTGTTCCGTAGATAACGTTTGCTGCCAATGTCAGACGTTACATAATGTGCATTGGTAATCTTTTTCTCGGGCAGCAATTTTAACACTGTCCTATTTTTTGCCCCGATATCACCGGTTTTAACATGACAGTTTTGGACAGATTGTGTGTGGGGGTGTGTGTGTGTCTCCAACCCAGCAGGTCTGCATGAGTCAGTGTAGATTTACTCGTCCCCATAAGAAGCTTGCATACGCACACACACACACACACATGTTCACAGATCCTGACAATTAGAGCACAAGTCAGGCTAAAACACTGGGTGGACAGAAGAGTAAAACATGAAAAGCCATCAACATATACAGTTATATTAAGATATATACCACAATGTGTATTATCTTTTTGACAATATCCTGTTGTGTGGCTCCCCAAGACAACATCAGCAAACCTCTGTAGGTGAGGTGCAAATTTCATGAATCAATTTCAAAAAAAAAAAAAAAAAAAAGTGCTGTTTGAGAAGCAGCCCTTCATACAGTCATGGCCAAAAGTATTTGCACTCCTGCATTTCTGTCAGATAACACACCACTTCTTCCAGAAAATTGTTGCAATCACAAAGTCTTTGGTTTTCTCATGTTTATTTCTTTTGTTTGCATTGGGACAGCACAAAAAAGCAGAGCAAAAAGCCAAATCTGATCAATTCCACACAGAACTCCAAAAATCATCAGGAATAGTTGTATTTTAAGCATGGGTATGGCTTGGGTTTGGGCCATAAAAAGACATCTTCAAGCTTATAGTTTTGACAGTTGATAATAAAATTCTGGGGTACAGTTTTCAGTTATGGCACAGTATGAGCTCATGATGAGTGGACAGCCACATAGAGTAGTTCTCCTACATGGCCAGAGGTTTTTACAGTGGGCTGAGCAGCTTCTTGTAGCTGAGAGAGGTTATCTGGTCTGAATGCACAGGCTCACTGGGGAGGTGTAATAGGTTGGAGTGGTTAAATCACTTAGTCACTCAGCAACTACTGTGGTAAATGATTCATCCTTTTCAGTCATTCAGAATTTCACGGTTTTAGTTTCTCAATTGTGAATATTGGTTCCTTTCATTTTTCCATGATATGAAACTGAATGACTTTGGGTTTTTGACAGTTGGTCAGACAAAACATGGAATTCAAAGACATTAACTTTGAAGTCAGTTCTCACCATTTTTCTGACATTTTATAGCCCAAATTGATTAAGAGAATAATCGACAAATTAACAATGGAAATCATTAAGTAATCATTAGTTACATTTGTTAAGACATCCCACCCTGCAAAAACGTATTTAAGGGAGAACCCCCCTGACCCCCAACCTGGTACTGCAAATACAGCAGAGTTGTTGCCTTGTAAACATGAGATGAAATTAAGGTATGAGATAAAGTATGAGATTCCATGGTAATGCCTCCTTATACACATTTGAACGAAGACAGGTTTTGTGAATAACAGGATATTGTTCACCTCTTTGTTCATGGTCTCCCTAGCTATCACTACCAAACACTAGTGAACCTTCGTGAGAAGTATGTTTTGTCCTCTTTCATCTCCAAACAGCTACAGAGTTTCAGGATACAGAAACAGCAGGACAGGGAGCACTGAAGCTGCTCTGAAAACAAAGGGAGGCCCTACTCTCTGCGACACTTAATTGTTGTGTAGTGTTTGGTGTTTGTGTAATATCCCCCCACACAATGTCTGCCTACCCTGTCCTCACTGTGGGCTCACTCTCGTCGTTGCCAGGGAACCCTCCCGTCTGTCACCTGTGTTATCTGCTCAAAGCCTTCCGTCTAGTGAAGAGAGGATCCCATCACTTTTCTCTGGACAGCGTATAATAATGTGACCCTTCAGAGGTGTACACAGCTGTGTTGACAGGCAGGGAGGGTTGTAAATTGATGCAGGAGTTTAGTTGTTGGTTTTTGTTTGAGTTGGTCAGGAAGGATGCACCATTTACATATGCTAGCCCAGGCACCAATTGGATTGGGAGAAAACAGTCAATAGATGAAAACTTTCAGGCTTGATTGGAGAACATAGTATGTGCTCCAAGTGCTCAGGAGTGCAGCCGTGCACTTTGGCCACAAGGGTGCTCACTTAGAGTCAGTAGCATTTCCAGCACTTACAATGGTGACTAATCTTTTAAAATATTCCTGTATCCAAGGTATGACATGGATCAGCACCAAAAACGAATCAATTGTTCTGTGGGCCATACCCTGTCTCTCCAGAAAATGTCATTAAAATTTGTAAATATTTTTTTTTACTTATGCTGTTAACAAACAAATCAGCAAATGCTGGCAAAACCATAACCCCTACCCTTGGTGCACATAATTAATGCTTGGCCTGAATGTTAGTAGCACCGCTAAAGCTGCACTCTGCTGTCAGACACTGAGCTCTCAGCTCAGCTTTTTAAACCTTACAGCTACTAGGCAACACTTCCATGAATTTTCATAACTTTGTGCTGCAGTGTTCAATCATGAACAGTGAGCACAGAAAACCATGCTGTGACTTGGTCCTTCCTGAGAAGAAAAGATGGTTCGCTTGTTTTACAATGTATGGGCAGTCAGCACACATGTGTAACTGCATCTCAGTTACTAGAGCAAACTACAGTACATTTTCTCACAGTTACACTGCACATCCTCAGTTAACATTTTTAATCCCCGAAATTATTAACTTCAATTGATTAATTGTTAACTTCCCTATCAGCTTTTATGTCAGTTTTACTTGGCATCATTTACAATTCACTTCTCGAGTATCATCCCTTACATAACACTTGTAAGCAACATTTCATTTTTCATGGCCCTGGTATCTGTGTATCTGTTGCCAGATCGATCGATCAATCAATCAATCAAAATGTGTTTATATAGCACTTTAAAAGCAACGTCTGGTTGACCAAAGTACTTTAGGGCAATGTAAAAACCAGAATAAATGATATCAATGGAGAAATAATTTCAGAATAAACTTAACTGACTTACAGCACTGTGACAGAGGGAGATGTTTTCCATAAGTTTGTGGAACCCTGTGTTATCCTGCTGTTGATTTTTCCCCTCCTCTGCTTTTCAGTGAGAAACATGGACAACTCTGTCACCCTGTGGCAGTTCCTTCTCCAGCTCTTATTGGATTCCAATAATGAGCAGCTAATCTGCTGGACCAATGAGGAAGGGGAGTTCAAACTGCTGCAGGCAGAGGAAGTGGCCCGGCTGTGGGGAGCCCGTAAGAACAAGCCTAATATGAACTATGACAAACTCAGCAGGGCTCTCAGATACTACTACGACAAGGTAAACACATTTCAGCTATACCCTGGCTTATGGACTTGAGCAATCTGATATTTTTGCCCCAATGCTGTATTCCCAGACTTAAAAATGAATATGAGTTGGATCAGATGGTACAGCATCTTGATATGTCTGAGATCAGATGTTTACTTGTCAGTCAGAAATATACAAATTACATGATGCCTGTGTTGCATAACCGCATGTGTTTTAAAGCAGCACCTAGAGACTCAAAGACCACTTCCTCCAGAAAGCTACACTGAAGAGTGCACCATCAAATAGCAGAATGCAACTAAAGTCCACTGCTCAGTGACGCGCAGAGAGAGGCAGGGTGCTGACTGTCTCCCACTCTGCTTGTGGTTTGGCAGAAGCACAGCCTGACCCTGTGGGCGTTATGGGCAGGCCTGCTCTGGTATGTTTGGCTGCTGCATTAGTGGCTTCTAGCTGGGTACAGACATGAAGTCTTACACGTGGGACATAGCTGTCCCACGTGTAAGACTTTCTGTGGTTTCACTCTTCTATTTTTTGCTTCCAGTACATCTTCAGTGGAGGCGTTGTTCTGTGTGAGGGACAGTCTGGTTTCTGCTCTCACTGTGAGTTTTCTGCCTAGGTGATAATGATAAGGGATAAGAATTTTTAGGACTGTATCCGACTACGGATTTTGTCAGTCGACTGTCAGTTGGCTCTTTGACCACATTACCATCAGTATTTAAATGCAAAAGAGTGACAAACCTGCCTATGTCAGGCTGCCATGTGGATTTGTAGGAATGAGACAGACAACATGCATATTTCTGTTGAAACTGTGCTCTTATAGGCAGTTTTCTTTCCTCTGAGACACAGTTATAGCCTAGTTTACCAACATGTCTGAGCTTCTCCTATCAGTTAATCACAGCACATGTTGTTACTGTGCTTTTGATGTGTGCCAGCTTGTGCTGCAAACAATTGCTCTTATTTATAAATCATCATTGAAATGTTAGCTTTCTAGTCCCGTTTAGATGGATGCATGTCATAGAAACAGTCGGTAAACGGCTGTGCATTGCACTTTAACAGAGATTGAGATACAAACTGGATGCACATAACTTGGGTTGCAACCGTATGTGATTTTCATGGTATGATAACCGTCTCAGGAAATATCACGGCTTCTTGGTATTACTGTATGTGGTATTACACAGTTACTATTATCAATTACAACAACCCTTAACGGAATGAAAACAAAAGGGACTCTTTTCTTTATTTGCAGGTGGCTGTGCAAGTTGATAGAGTTGGATTGCAGTGCTAGATTGATCTGAAAGAATAAACAGAATTATCCATCCATCCATTATCTATACTGCTTATCCTGAAGAAGGTCGCAGGGGAGCTGGAGCCAATCCCAGCTGACACTGAGTGAGAGGCGGGATACACCCTGGTTTGTAAAACAATAGTGAGACATGCCGTCACAATGCTCTAAGCCAGTGGCTCTGAGCTGGTGTCACCCTGGGACCCACTTTCCAACCCACTTATCAAGTCGCGACCCACCAGTGCAAAATTTTAAACAAATGGATTAAATTATAAAGCACCTTTTTAAAACATAGTCAATACAGCTTTTGTGTCAGATTTTTCTCTGTCTGCATTAAGGAAATATTACCCAAAAATTAAAATAAACATCACAACTGCTGCATAATGCAACATAAATACAACAGTTGAATAACACACCAGGGTGCTGTGGGTGCTGTACATGTATAAAACTGAATGCAGAACTGCAAACACAACATGATAATGCTTTATAGTCTCTTTTTACTTAACATGTAAGGGCATTTTTATTTCACAGTAAACTAATGAGATAGCTGTAGTTGTGCTTTAGTTTTGACAAGAGTTTCAATGTCTGGGCTGATAGTAGACAGAGCTACTCTCAGATCATGTTCAGTGTCCAACCTGTTCCTTTGCTTTGAGTTGAACTGTACCAAAGCGGAGAAGCCACTTTAACACAGATAGGTTGTTGTGAACAGTACGATTGCTTTGACTGCCAATGTAGCGGTTGAGGGATATTCAGACATCACATATTTGCACCAGAAATGGAAGAGGCTTATCTCATCAAATCATATGTGGCTTCTTGGCCTTTGCAATATGCTGAGCTACAAGGTAAGAGGCCTGTAGTGCCTGCTCTGATTTGGAACACGAAGACAGCAGTGACTTCTGGGTGGTCCTCAGGTCCCGAAGTAGTCTTTGAAAGTATTTGGCTGCTTTGTCTTTGTACCCGGCGTGTTTTGTTTCTAAATGGCGTTTTAACTTGGACGGCTTCATACTTTCTTGTGCCAGTACTTCACTGCATAACACACATTGAGTTTGTCCATTTTTATCATCTATGTAATTAAATCCATACTTAACATAGTCCAAATCATATTTTCGTTTCGCCATCTTCTCAACAAGTGGACCTGTCTTCAGTAAGTGTGCACTGTCACCCGTCATTCAAGGCTTGTCATGGCAACATTAGGCCTCTGCACATCACACACACACTCCTTTCAAAATAAAAGCCCCACATTAGATACTACCTAAGCATTTGAATCCACAACAATATTTTGCTCTCGAAATAATTTTTTTTCTCACCATGTCTCTTGTGACCCACCTGAAACATGCCCGCGACCCACCGCGTGAGATATGCTGCTCTAAACGATTATTAGAATAATAATCAGTAGGTGCACGACAGCACAGCCAGACTGATCCTGTCTGTACCTGCACACACACAAACTAACTCAGTTTTGTGAGCTGGGAAAGTTGTGCGTTTGTTTCTGGGGTCACACCAGGTTCAGTGTGAGCCCTTTTCTAAAGCAGGGATTAGCAATGGACCAGACAATGTGGAAAATTATTTTGATTGTGCATTTTATGACTGACAGTTATATACTCGCACGTTTTATTGTTTGGGATTAAAGTAACAAATGGGACACATACTTTGATCTGCACTGTTCTCGTAGGTGTTCATTTGAGATATCCAAAGTAATCTCATTCAGTAAACTGTTAGTTGGCTGTTAGAAAATCAAGTGGCATAAATTTCACTGATGATTACGACCACATTAACATTGGTATTTAAATGGAAAGGAATGACGGGAGCGTCTTTCTGAGCATTTAAACATCAATAACGATAGCTGCATATCATGCAAGATTTAAATTGTGACCAATTTAAATTGATAATGTGTAATGCCAGGTTGCCATATGGCTTTGTTAGAATAATGAGACAATCATTTCCTGTGGCCATTCCATCTTAACTGAAAAGAAACTGAATGACCTGAGAAACTGATTAAGATGATACTTTCCCCGGACTGGACCAGATTATTTTTGATTCTGTTTTATTAGAAGAGTCTGTGAAGATTCAGGAAATCCCTTCAGAATGAGATTACAATGTTTGGCAAGTTTGAATTGCGAAAGCTCCCAGAAGATTAGATCTTTGACTTGAGTGTATGTAATAAATAAATGTCACAAGCTGGGGCTACATCGTCATGGCCGTTAAAGTTTTTTCTCTTGTAAACCTAGACCACGATGTTTGAAAACAATTCTGATAAAGTACAAATCTCACCTGTATGTGGCTTGTCCTAGTGGATTTTGTTGGCTTTGTCTCCTTGTTCTGGGCAGCAGTTTGCTAAATATTGTTGTTGGACTTTAAACATTCATTCATCGTACAGTGTCACTGTTGAAGTGGGTATTCCCACAGGGAGAAGCATTGAGAAAATTGCTGCTTAGCAAAACAAAATGAGGAGAAGAAGATGGCAAAGTACCAGGGTGTACCTTCTATTGTATTGCACAATTGCTGACAAAAAGTAAAATAAAAACAAAGGTTTGACTAGAAGAGTCTCAGTCAACTGTTGGGTTTCTCTTGATTAATGATTTGACTAGTTGACTTACAGGAGGGCAGCCCAAGTAATGATGTAGTTTTATAAACTGACATCTTTTTCTGCAATTGCTTTTCTGTCTTCCAGAACATCATAAAGAAGGTGAATGGTCAGAAGTTTGTCTATCGCTTTGTGTCCTATCCTGACATCCTGAAAGGAGATGTTGCTATCCGATCAGAGAGTGGGGATGTTGGTGTTGGGGGCATCCCTCCCCAAACAAGAAGGGACAGCACTCTACTGGAGGGTGAGTCTGGTGACAGAGCCAAGATAGGAGGCAGGACAACGGCTCTGGGTTCCAGCACCAAGCAGTCGAGCCGTAACGACTACATCCACTCTGGCCTGTACACCTCCTTTACGCTCAACTCGCTGCAAAATGGACGCCAGCTCTTCAAGTCCATCAAAATGGAGAACCCTGCAGAAAAGATAGCGGACAAGAAAGGTCTCACTGCCACAGTCCAGACCCAGGAATCCATGCCTCAGCCACAGCAGCCAACTGCTTTGCCATCTGTAATCAAGTTTGGAAACACCCCTCCAAAGCCAGCACCAGCACCACCACCTCAGGTTGCCATTGAGCCAACTCTAATGTCCAACCACATGGATCCTTTGCAAGCTCCACCCCAGAGAGCTGAAGAAATCAGCACACACTCCTCCCTGCCACCCCAGTCCGTCTACTCATTTGAACACATCCGCCCCTCAGAGCCAGCATTCAGCCTATCAGACCTGACCTCAGCCAGCCCGTCTCCAAGATTAGTGCCTGACTCCTCCCAGGAGCTGGTGATTGACAGCAGCATTGAGTCTGGATCATCTCAACCCACAGATGCTCAGGCACTGGAGGCCATGGATGCTCACGCACAAGAAAAGGCTAGTGATGCAAATTTGCAGCATTCACATTCATGTCTGTACTGGGTGTGTGTCCACTCGCGCACTGGAAGCGCTTTGTGTACAAACAGCACACAGAGAAGCCTACAAAAACACCTTGGAGAAGGGGAAACTACTTCCAGATGTCAGACAAATAGTACACAATGAGCCAGTAACATTGACTGTCTGATGTTTGGTACTGAGCAGCTAGTGTATCGAGGGTTTTTCAGCATAAAAATCCTACCTGCTGCAGCTAATAACAACTCTGTGAAAGGGAACTAAAACAGTTGAGTTTCAAGATGGAAAATGAAAACATTAAGTTAAAACATGCAGAAATGCTTCCTAGACATGAGGGGAACTACACTGTCAGATGATAAGTCTGGATGGGTTCGTCACTACAAGCAAACCCTTTCACATACAACTGGTTATGTCATTGGTGTGTAAATTGCTGAAATATGTGGTATTCTTTATTTAGCAGCTGTGTAGGACCACATCTTGAAAACTACCAGTGCAGAGAGAAATGGGGAAAAAAACTTAATCTTCCTAAATTTCACACAGGATGAACAACAAAAACCAGTTAGTCACTTTACTTTCATTGTAATACCTGTCGGTACTGACAAACATTACAGTGGCTGGCGGTACTGCCAGGGGATATTCTACATTAAAGCTACTTTGGATTTATTTTCTGATACTGTGAACATATTAAGTGAGTTATGTATACTGTCTGAAGCACCCACCCTGATGTTCCTGAGTGTGACACTGTAAAGCAAAAGTTATTTAATTAAATGAAAACCAGTGTAGAAATCATCACCTATCATTGTGCCCACCAGGTGGACAGTGGCATCGGTCTGTCTGGAGATGAGACCAGTTTGGTGGACACTGAAACCAGTTCATCCTCAGTGAGCAGCTGCACCACAGTCTGCACTCAGAGCTCAGGAAAGACACGCAAGCCCCCGAAAATCCTGCAGATCAGCCCGCCAGCTCTGCTGGTCACGACCTCTGACTTCTCTCCCATGAACCTCTGCAGCCCCTCTCTGCCTACTGCTTCTCTCACACCAGCAATGCTACAGGTGAGAGATTTTACCTGAGGTTACAGCACACCTGAACAAAGGTCCTATACAAATCCAGCAACAAGAAAATGGGTGATGTTTAATAACAAATCTTTTAAATTAAACTAAAACACTTCCTGATACCAGTTTACCAGTTTGCGAAATGCATTGTGTGTGTGTGTGTGTGTGTGTGTATGTGTATACAGTGGGTATGGAAAGTATTCAGACCCCCTTAAATTTTTCACTCTTTGTTATATTGCAGCCATATGCTAAAATCATTTAAGTTCATTTTTTCCTCATTAATGTACACACAGCACCCCATATTGACAGAAAAACACAGAATGTTTGACATTTTTGCAGATTTATTAAAAAAGAAAAACTGAAATATCACATGGTCATAAGTATTCAGACCCTTTGCTGTGACACTCATATATTTAACTTAGGTGCTGTCCATTTCTTCTGATCATCCCAGAGATGGTTCTACACCTTCATTTGAGTCCAGCTGTGTTTGATTATACTGATTGGACGTGATTAGGAAAAGCCACACACCTGTCTATATAAGACCCTACAGCTCACAGTGCACGTCAGAGCAAATGAGAATCATGAGGTCAAAGGAACTGCCCGAAGAGCTCAGAGACAGAATTGTGGCAAAGCACAGATCTGGCCAAGGTTACAAAAAAATTTCTGCTGCACTTAAGGTTCCCAAGAGCACAGTGGCCTCCATAATCCTTAAATGGAAGACGTTTGGGACGACCAGAACCCTTCCTAGAGCTGGCCGTCCGGCCAAACTGAGCTATCGGGGGAGAAGAGCCTTGGTGAGAGAGGTACAGAAGAACCCAAAGATGACTGTGGCTGAACTCCAGAGATGCAGTCGGGAGATGGGAGAAAGTTGTAGAAAGTCAAAGAAAGTCAACCATCACTGCAGCCCTCCACCAGTCGGGGCTTTAGGGCAGAGTGGCCC